AAATAAAAAGGAAAAAACAAAATCATTAAACGTCTCCTCCAGGGAATCGATCCCGCTACCGTCAAACCTACATTGGATTTGCAAGCGGCGCCTTAACGCGGTGCGCCACTGGATCACTCTCATTTACATAATAATAGACCACTTGACACTTTCACCGAATAGACTACCCCAATTTGACATTATACTTTCGATAGTTGCCTAGTTAGTGCAAGGGGTTATCCATCAGTGTCTAGGGGCCGGATAGCTTCTCCCTCACTGGCTTTTTAGTTAGCGCGAAGTTAGGACCAATTATCGGGATAGCATGGAAGAGCCGAAATCTCTAACCGGAATGTAAATCGATTCGCCGCCTCAGCTTCACAGAATGTCTCGGGGGAATCGTCCCAACCTTTTTTCGATTTTATGGTCATGGGTTCGAATCCCAACACTCAAGTTTTTTCTTTTTTCATTTTTCTTCTTTTTGTTTGTTTGTTTGTTTGTTTCTTTTTTTGCTTTTTGTTTTTGTCTTTTAATTAGCTTCCTATGCATTAATGTTTAATTACAAAATCTGCAGAATCATTTAGTAATTACTTCTACAATATATTTTCTATTTAACAATTAGACCTCGAGGTCGAGTGGACTACAAGCTAATAGCCCATGAGGCCGAGTCCGCGAGGCCGAATDSGCTATTAGCTCGTAGTCCACGAGGCCGAGAGGTCTAATTGTTTTAGTATAAACATACTAATCGGTCAAATAATGAAAAAAATTGAAATATCCTTAAAATAATTTATAAGTTATAATTTATTTATTTTGATTTTCCCGCGAGTGGTCTATCACAARTTAGACCATTAGTAGAGCAGCCAATCACAGCGCAGTATGAGTGATAGACCATTAGTATGTTTATACTAAAATGTGATATTTTAAAGGCGCTTTCATTGGCTTGTTTTCATTAAACGTATAATAAGTTTTCACAGCGCGGCGATTTGGGCAACCGAGAATCATTKTTTAAACAGAGTGTCCGAGTTACGTTTGCTATTCGTACGGACATGGTATATATCTGACATTTTAAAGTAATTATATAAGATATCGATTTTAAAATRCTATAATTTTGTTTAGAGTCAAATAATAATATGAATACGCTACAAACTTTCTGATTTTACCATGCACATTTAGCCCCGGCATAGAATACATCACGGCGAAAAGCGACACTTAATGAAATTTCGTAAACTCCGATGTCAGACACGGACTGCAGCAATGTCAATACTATGTTCTCAATACCTGCTATGTTTAACACTTTTTGGATTTTTTTTTTGTGTATTTTTCTCTTGAGTCTATTCATACGAAAAAAGAAAAAGCAATGAAAAACGTAATTCAAAAATTTCTAAAAGTAATCTAGTTAACCGTGATTCGAAAAAATTAGTCGTGCGAGTCGTGAAATCGCCAAATTTTTAGCCGTGAGTCGTGATGCGTACACCCCATAGAGACCCTCAAACTTGCTCCGGGGTTATTTGAATTGTCGAATTGGAAAAGCTTTAAACATTCCCATTTTGTTTCCCATATAAACTCTGTAAAAAAAATTCTCTCGTAGACGACCACTCTTGTAGGCGACCGCGGCCACCTTTGGGATTGAAATTGTAGAATTTTTCATTGTTTTTCCTCTCCCGTAAACACCACCCTCGACTGACACAGTAAAGGCGTGTACAAATTACATTTCCACAGGGAGGGGAAATTTTTTTAAACCCATTTATAATGCATTGTGACACTGAATAAAAGAAAAGTAGACCATTTTTTAAGTAAAATATTATTTTTAACTATTATAGGTTCAAATTCATTGCTTGGGCTCCCTGTGAGTAAATCAACAAGCAAAGAATCAGGTAAATTTAGCGAGTAACTTAGAGCGCTTGCGGTTTTCTTCTTGTGTTTTCGCTTTTTTTCGCATTTGTTAATCAATGTATATATGAATTGATATAATACAATAAAGTATAGAAAATATAAGCATAAATGAAGCATGCAAGAGGTGGGCTGCCTTTGTCCGTATGACTCGGTGTCAAATTCGACGAAAAGAGACCAGATTTCAAGACTTTTTGAAGAAATGCAATGATATTTGAGACAATCTTAACAAACCTACCATCGAGTATGCTGTGGTTTTGATTATTCTTATGAAGGCTATAGTGTTGAAGTAAAAGCTATTGTTGAAGAGTCCCCAGGGTTTCGGAGAGCAAAATCCGAGAGTTTTTTTCAAAGCTTTTTGCTATTCTAATGGCCGATAAACCTATATATTCTTTAAAACAATGCCGTATTTGTGCTCATCAAAAGATCTAATCTAAACAAATGTCACCCGATGTATGGCAATAAGTTTGATATGATTATCATTGTTTGGGTTTCCTGTGCCAACTTTCTCGTTAACGACCATCTCTCGTAAGCGACCACTTTTTCCTGATCCCGAGGTGGTCGCTTACGAGAGAGTTGATGAATGCTCTGCTTTGCTCATGAATCATGTTCAAAAGATAAAAGAATAGGGTTTTGTCAATGTTGTTATTTAAATAACTTTAGCTGGAGTACTGATAGGTCTATTATAATTCCTTACCAATGAATTTCAAAATTAGTTTTATGTAAATGACTTTGTTGTTGTCTTTATCGCGACTTTTCACCCGGACAACCTTTTCGATATTGTATCAACCAATGGATTCGATGTCAATATCAAGTTTGGTAATTTATAGCGCAAAAATCCACCGAAATTTTCTTGAGCTTTATGGCTAATKACAGTCACACCCGTAACGATGGTGATACAGCAAGAGATCAGTCAACCCACGTCAAGGAAGTAATAGGTTCTTTATCAYTTTGATTTCTTTAGCTTTATGTAAATTACTTGAAATATTAAAGTAAATGGGATTTTTATTGATTAGAGTGGGCACAGCARTGCAAAGGACTAACACTTTCCCTTGAAATTTGCTGTATACTGTATACAACCCTAATCACAGATTGGAAACTCAGTCGTAGTCGTCCCCCAGTCGTCCATTAAATAAGCTACAATCAATCCATGTTGTTGGTTTCTATATGAAATAATTATGAAAGTCTTTTAGCAGAGATAGGGACGATAATCTGTAATGTTGTGGTATTGTATTTCTCCGTGGATTACACTCTGATAGCAATCAAACCTTTTAAAGACACTAATTACAAGTCATACTGATAATCTCGGAGACTATTGGTCTCACAGCAGTTTGAAGCCGTTCRGCGCGGTCTGAATGACTTTTGACGTTAGCCTGCCTATCGGACCTCAGTTTGAAGGCATAAAGTGGCCGTCTAAGCGTCAGGCTAACCTCCCTCAGAAGGAGTTGCTACATAATTCTCTTGATCTGTGCAGCGTAGTCACGTGATAATCCCGCCATTTGATCATACAGATAAACARCGTGATATCGAACGTAAGCTGACAAGGAGGCTCAGAGTACATTTCATGTTGACAARATGTAGTCTTGTWAATTKTTTTCTCCATGTTGTATTGACATAGGATTCACTGTAGGAMGGCTAYGGMGGGATTACTCATTGCGTCGCACACTTTMCTTTCGATATGACAACTTTATATGTGCTCTTTTGGCTGCGGAATTATTGCTTTATTCTTTCACTACAACCATCATTAGTAATCGGCCAAGACCCCATCACCGCTATACTACAGTCTACCTACTTTTAAACTACGCCCTAAACTTTTTTACTTAGTCCTAATGGTACTCGTGAAGACATTATTCTACTGATAATTTCGACACATTTCAAATCAGATTTTTTTTGCATTTCAGTTTTTACTCAGCAAAAAATAAAAGCCGAAAAAGAGATCAAAGTTTTAAYACAGAATGAATGGCTATGTGGATGGTACGATTCTATTGATATATAARGATAGAATGGCCCTCGCAATCATTTTTTACGTGAATGTCATGACTGTGTATTTGACTGTATTACACAGTGTTGAACACTTCACAACCTTTTATCCACTTCACAACTAATCGGCTCATTGTCTCGTCTTTCATATATCAAAATATCACTAGGATGTGTAAACTCCTTAATTAAGTACTTTATTACAGTACACGGCTTTAAGATGTACATATTTGGGAAGCATACCGCGAACACAAATAAATCCTATGACATCACTAGGTTATAGTCATCGATGTACTTCAACAGAAATTCCAATATTGGAAAGTTGTTATGAACATCGAGCACGCGTATCCGGAGTTATGTCTAAAAACGCACGATTCACTTCTGTTCAAAGCGAAAGAAGAATAAAGCTATCTTTTTGTGTGATCAAAATATAGCTGATAAAAGGCAAAAATGCATAAAGCAAAACTCGGGAAAATGTTGAGAGTGAAACYTTGCTGAGTGTAATTCATTAATAATAAAATACTGACTGTATTTTGACATTTTCCTTTAATGTAAACGAAAAAAAAGATGAAGAGTCCAAAAATGTTTTAACTGGAACTTAATCATTCAAAAGTTATTACCGACTCTCGTTCAAAAGCTGCAATGCCAGGGATAAGTGTACAACAAGATTTCAGCACAAAATAAGCCAAAAGTGTCGACTAATTTTAACTAAGTAGATAGCTTTTTATCCGTTTATTTGTCATTCTCAATGTAATATTCAATTGAATATATTTGGCTTCAGTGTTTTGATATTTCATGSTGCATTGACGGCGGCTCTAATCAAACAATCTATTCTTCTTGCAAGAACACTGCCACCACTCAAACAGCTTTTAGCAGCTTTCAGCCCATTTTATAGTACAGTGTTAGAAATGGTGTGTGACGTGACTTTTTTAAGATCTCTTTTCTGCAACTTTATCGGCAAAGATTGTATTTTTAATATTCTTCATGAGGTTTGCAGTCGTATTCGTGAAGGTTTTGAATCATGGTACTGTTTTCGTTGCACCTTTCCCTATGTTCATCAGTTGTTGTTATTGCTAATAGACGCCGTTCGTTTTTTCGTTTAAAGATAGTTTTCAAAGATCGTCGAAAGTCCGACTTAAAATATGCATATATGGGCGCATTAACAAGAGTACTGACGCAAAGTGTATACCATGCTATGATGGGCAAGCTTGGGGGGATAAGYTCTAACTTATGCACTGCTTGAACACCAGTCATGTAAACTAATGGCATCCAACCAACCACAAAKATACCAGTAACAACAGCGAACACTTTAGCCACTTTAGCTTCAGTAGCCATTCTTTTGGTCTCTTTCATAGCTGCATCGCGTCGAGTTCGCGAGGTCTGTCTGTCTGTAGTGACACATAATTTCAAGAGCTTTTTTACTTGCTTGATAACCTCTCTGAAGATTCGTACATAAGCGATAATGATGAGGGTGTATGGTACGAGTATACCAACTACTAACACGCACAGCAAATACACAGTATGTATAGTAGTCATTGGATCTGCGCTCCATATTATTGGTAGCATAGAGGTTACTATTGGCACTACCCACGCGGATACTAGTATTCGGCGAAAACCTCTCTCCATGAAGATAGTGTAGAAAAATGGTTTGAGTACGGCCAAGTATCGATCAAATGTTGTAGATAATAAGTTAGTAATGTTCACTAATAACACCATGGCTATCAGGTAGCCATTTGCTGGTGAACTAGCGTCGATGATGTGTAAAGGAACGACAATAACCCCAAAAAGAATGTCCGACACAGCCAGCGAGGTAATGAACCCGTTTGTCCATGTCCTCAGGTAATGGAAACGATAGACAAGGAAGCATACTATTAGGTTTTCAACGGTGATCAGTGCACCCAGTACAGCCGATGTGACAGTGTAAGTGGCCATGACTGTGTGGTGTATTTCGGGACAGCGGTAATATATACGCAGCTGTCCTAGAATTTCCCGGCAGGATTCCGCGCCTACATGCAATTAGGACCAGCCATTGACGTCCGGTTAGAGCACGTCGCTCGTTTGGGGTCTTTGTTGGTAGGAAATTAATAAAACATTCGATTCAAATTGATTGAATTTTGCTTCACGACATATTACAATTCATTTTTATATGAATATTTTAACACACTAAGTTTGGACCCTCTTAAGGCGCTATTAAATACTTCACTCAAAAAATAGCAAGTTTTTAACAAATTGCTTGTTTAGAAACACATTCTACCTGTTCATTGGGTCCTTACGTGCTGACCACAAAGCTGGCTGATTTATGGTTTCAATTTTTCAAATAAAGTTGACAGAATATTAAATGTCTAGTTTACATTACAGATTTAGATGAGAATTAAGTATTATTTAGTTYGTTGGAAGTATTGTAAGGATTATATCAAGTTATATGGTTACATTTGATTCAATGGAATTAATCAAGGACAATTCCAAACCTACTCAACGAACAAGACATTTAGTTCCGAATTATTCCGTCTTTGATCTAGAGCATTTTCTGTGTGATGGTCTGCATCATTCAGGCTACAATGGATTTGCGGCAAAAAAAACTATCACTTCTGCCTTTCAATTGGACCGAGTAAGAGACATTGTGATAAAAAATGGACGAAGATGTGAGATAAGAACACTGTGCACGTGTTATCATCTTTATTTTTAGAGTTACGATAAGGATTTCTAGAATATTGAAAGTCTCTTAGTGATGCTTTGTCAATRCATAGTTAGACCACTATAAAAAGTTGTCAAATGGCGTTAATTCACAACAAAATMCTAATGATAGTTCGCAAACATCAATGGTTATCCCGCTCTTTTTACATTTGTATTCACTGACCAGTGCTTTTATTTGCCATGCCTGAAAATGCCTATCTATAGCTTTCTCATCAGACGACTTAATTTCTAGCTCTTATGCTCACAGCATGATATATGGTAAACGACTGAGYATATTGAAATATTCTTAAAAGAACGAAAGGATGTAAAAGACAGAAACTTTGAACAACTGAAAAAGGGAGCTATCTTTTAAAAGCTCAAAACTGAAAGAGAAAATTCCGAGGTGATGAAACAAAAACACATCGAATTGAATGAACAAACAACAAATTAACATAACGAAAGAAGAGAAAAATACAAATAATCTTTCAGATTTCGGTCTCCTCTTTGTTTACAAACAAACGCGCTGATAGAGTTTGAATATATATAATGTAATATGAATTTAGCTCAAGTTCTAACGTATTCAAAATGTTTATCTGTCTCTTCTCTATGAAAACACACTAAATTTGTTACAATTTTTCGCGATATCAAATATATTCAAAATGATAAATAATGAGGAAAAAAATAAGGAAAATGTACTGCTGTGAATTTTCATTTCCACCAAGGTCAACTTATGTTTATACGATAAGAGCTGGACAACTAGTCTCGTACATGGTTAATAAATAAAAATACCCTAATTTGGCTACGAGATCAAGGAGGCGCTTGGCTTTTTATAATACAGCAATAGCTGACTAGGTGTTGTTTTGGATGTCTATTCTCTGAGATTTAATGATATAGTGTGTTATTTAGCTGATATGTATGATTTTTATCATGGCTAAAAAAACATATACATTCAGACAGGAAATTTTATGAAAGTATAGCTGATGATAAGACGAAAAAAATCCTAATTCCGAATTCATCGTAGGAATGGATAGCGTTTGCCAGTGACCTTTGTGTATATCTCTAGCGCACAACATAGGGCGTTCTTTGTTATGACAACATTGAAAATTTAAAAAAAAAGCCATCACAACATTTCAAGAAACGCTTCAGCAATTTGTCAAAAACAGAGACAGGAATGGTGTAAGGCACTCCACTGCTCGTTTGTTATGAATGGACAATTAATAACAAAAACGTTCATGGAATATCCGTTCTTGTTTCACGATGTCAGTCTTATTCTACAAAAGTGAGATTCCTTATACAAAACCACTATAGGTTTCAGAAGTTGAATTGATTTTCAGGCATATTATAGGCATACTGCTAAAATTCGATTGTTTGCCGTTTTCTTTGCTGTGGCTGAGTAATGGAGGACCTGTTTATTACCGGCAGACCGTTGTATTCACATTCAGTATAGGATGCATGGTTTGTATGACAAAACTCCCAATTACTAATTACTGTAATATCCTATCTTTCTGTGCATTAAATCACTAACTGTCTTTCAACTTTTGGTGTGGTGTTTCCCGAACCATTCAGATTTATTGGTTTGTAGCCACAATAAGGAATCCTTATTTTCGGTATTTTAGCCAGGCGTACGTAAATAAACTAAAAGGCTTTTACATCAAATGTTAGTCAGCTGTTCCGTCGTATTGGGATTCTACTCGTATAAGTATGACTATAATAATAAAGAGACAAAAACAARCAGAGCTCCTTCTAATGCCGCTAATGCAGTATTGTTAATTATCATATGACCCGTATTTCGGCCCTACGCGCGCTCTCACTGAAACCTTTGGAAAATGGTCACGTGATGGGTCCGTGCGCCTTTTCGCGACAGGTCCGTACAAACCCGTATTTTCCCGGCTTGAAGTTCCGCGCGCTTTTATTTATTTTTTTTTACATTAAAAAACGCTGTCATATGATAAAATGCTTATTGACTGAGTTAGGTCGGGCCGTACGGGAAAATATTTGGCTCTCGGTCATTTGTACGGACCTCGCTGCGCTCGGTCCGTACGGCATAACCTCGAGCCAAATATTTTCCCGTACGGACCTCCCACTCAGTCAATAAGTACATAATGCGTTCTACCTTTGTCAGTCTGGCGTAGTAGCTTTTTCAGGTTGCGCATATGCAGCAGGGTCTGAATGGGGTTAACCGACTAGCGACAAATCAGGACAAAATAACTACTGACTAGCGACAAATTTGAACCAAATTTGCTGACTACCGACATTAACAAATTTACTGACTAGCGACATTTTCCAATATTCAAAGATGTTAGCTCCGTGAATACAAGCTTTTTTTTTAATTTTCAAGAAACTACATTCGAAATTTGCCGCGGAAAAAATAAATTTTGCTTTGGATTGGCTTCTTGAAGTTGCGATGAGCCACTAAAACTTTAAGGGCATCCAATTGACCAATCAAGACTCGATGATTCAATCGTTGGCATTTTAGAAAGAATTCTGTTGGGTATAAAGCACCGTTTTAGATGCATTTAAACTTAAACTTAATGTTAATGTTTATCAACTTTTTTTTAAATAACCGACTACCGACAAATGCCTAGAATTTTAACTGACTAGCGACAAATGCTTAAAATTTTAACTGACTACCTACTTTGAGACCCCCCATTAAGACCCCATTAAGACCCTGATGCAGTACACATGTATGTGTCACATCCAAAACAGATCGGAGAGAATTTTTCACCCATCAAATGTTTATTACGGAGGCTATAACAGCTATTAGTAATACATAATTTGAATGTGATCTATTATATCTATTATTTTTAAAGACAGAGAAAATGATGATTTCAGAAAGCAAATATATTTTTTTGGCTGTTCTAACAAAATAGCGAAGACCTCTCTTTCACAGTGTGCATGCGGGTCCTTTTTCCTTTCTCGAGTTTAAGGCAATGGAAACCAGGTTTTTTATCTCCGTGATAACAAGGTTTCTTGAGAATCACTTACTCATAACTATTTGATGTGATTTACAGTAACTTTTGTCACAATTTTGTTTTGACAAAAGCCGAGCGAGAAAACGGAGGGAAGCACTTGATTGGATTCCATACCTCTGTTTGGCTATAAACATCGATTGGTTAATTTGAGCGGGCTAAACTGTATTTTGGCCTGCTGATTTGTTCATTTTAGCCCGTAAAATACACAAAAATGCTCTATAAAGATGATATACAGTCAACTCTCTCGTAAGCGACCACCTCGGGATCAGGTAAAAGTGGTCGCTTACGAGAGATGGTCGCTTACGAGAAAGTTGGTACAGGAAACCCAAACAATGATAATCACAACACAGGAGTCTTTAATTCAAAACACGTTGTTCGAATCGTTGTTCGTATTTCGTGAATAAAATCATTGAACAATTATACTGCTTCCATGCCATTCCTCAAATTCTTAAGTTGATCTTATTGTCCTAATTCTATTGTTTTCTATGGTATAACTAACACTACAATGTATTTGATACTAAATAATACGCTTTTAAGGTTTGTACTCTATTTTAAAGTAACCGGAAATGTAATTTGTGTAAGCTTTGTAAGTAAATTAAAACACACCTTTATTGCGTCAGTCCTGTGTGGTCGCTTACGGGAGAGGAAAAAAAACAATGAAAAATTCTACAATTTCTATCAAAAAGGTGGTCGCGGTCGCCTACAAGAGTGGTCGCATACGAGAGAGCTTTTTTTATAGTTTATATGGGAAACAGAATGGGAAATTTAAAATTTGGTCGCTTACGGGAGATGGTCGCTTACGAGAGTGGTCGTTCAAAGAGAGTTAACTGTAATGTTGATTTTTACACGCGCATTTATTGATGGGTTCCCTGTACAAGACAAATGCTACCATCATGCTTTGCAAGGAAAAAACAGCGTTGCTGCTTGCCATCCAAAACGAAGTGAACCCTATGTCGGTGGTTGTTTTCCACAGAGAATTCATTAGTTTTCCCAGTACTTTTCATTGGTTTGGAAATAGTAAATGGTAGGTTAAGATATGTTGAATGTTTCTTGATGAAACTAATTTCATAAATGCTCAAATTTATTCAAACGTGATCGATTTATAATCTTCGAACTGCAGTTCATGCACGAGGTGTGACTATGGCGGCTTGGCAACGATAATTSATTCCACTAGCGAATCCCACTCGCAAAATAACAAAAAACTCAAGTTTGAATATTTTGCTTTGCCAAAGTCTCTATTTCTTTAATTCAAGTTATCAATTTACTGAAATATTTCGTGCTTTGTGATACAATTATCCACAAATGAACTAGACGCTCTTGGAGCGTGAAGTCGGACTAGCTATATTCTGTCTTAGAATCATATGATTATATCATGAATGTAAATTATGGCGTAGAATATATATTTTTTACTTCTAATACATAGTGAAAAACAAGAATGTGTTACTTTCACTTAAATTAATGTACTGTTCAAAACCTTTTATTCACACAACAATATTCTTTTTGACTGCTCTCTGCAATGACTTCAAAACGATAGAAATCTAAATTTTACCTAAAAGGTCATGTAATTAATACCCTGCAAACAGAGTGTATTTTAACTTACAACTGAACTGATAAAATCAAACATGGTAGACTAAATGTCACTAAGTGATATCATGATACCTAATACGTTTTTAATTCAAATTGTTGACCTCTCAAGCCAAGAAAATAGAAAGATGCCTATAAAATAATCAAAGTCGCCCTTTTGTTATTGATAAACAAACTTTTTTCTTGTTCTTATTTGAAATCTTTGCACAAACAAGACTGTCTAACTCTAGAATTCAGTTTCGTAAGCATACTCCTCGAAGCTCAAAGCACATGCGCATACTTCTGATGCCTAGACTGATGCATTCCGGTGAGATCACAGATACCACATTTGTAAACGAATAGATTTTTAATCACATAAAAGCATAAGTAGCATATAACATTTACTAACGATATGCGTACATCTATAATACGTTTGAGGGCAATTCCACATGAGACATGAAAAAAAGACAGTTTTTAAAATTCAAGATTTTTAAGTCAAAATCAGTTAAACTTAAAGCCAATACATTGGGCTAAAAGAATCTGAAGTCAAATTGCAGTTAATGACCACGCCCAAAGTGGGCGACGCMTTTCTTTTTGGTGTTTTTATTGGAAAATTAATATTATTAAAATTATAAATTTGTAGGTGCAAATGTTTGAATGGTTATAACATAAAGATAAGGCATGCCATGAATTATGTTATAATATGTTAACTATCTACTTGACTTGGTCTTTCAAGAAAATAAGTTATTTTTCCAAAACAATATATTTCCATTGACTTATAAAGACTTAAATTTGTTGCGGACGTGACATTCAAGGAAAGCCTTAAACAGCTTTTTTTTATTTCTTTCCCGCGACAGCAGCCTTTGCTTGCTCCTCCAGTAGACCTCTTAAATACGAGAACTTATCCACATYGGAAAGTCCTTTGTTGCTGTGAATGGAGCTTTCGAACGAGTCCCAGAACTCCTGGAACTCGCAGACTTTTCCTCCAAACCTTTTCACTTTTAATTTAGGTAGCTTTGCCTGTACTTGTCGATGTTCCGGTTGAGCGACCTTGGACGGTGTACCATTTTCATTAGCTCCAGCACTAACTCGAAGCCTAGAGTCTATTCGTAGGATYGCCTTTCTGATCGCCGTACAGAATTCTCCGCTCTCTTCAATTTCCTGTGTTCCATCTTCGTCGACGCCTTCRTCGCTTTCCATATGTAGGAGTATGCCCTCGTCGAGTGCTCTAATTTTGTCGAATTTCTCCTTTAGGCTCGCCTTCAGATCCTGTAGCTCGTAGTCCTCGGCGCCCTCTTCTTCTAAGATGTCATGTGCTTTACCAACAAGCTTTCTTGCATGTTGTCGGTGTCGGTGTTATCTCAGAACATATTTGTACGTCAATTTCTCCAAGAATGTTAAYGGATTTGAGTTTCAATTTAGTGTCGGAGTTTTTGGAGCCGTTTAAAACACTCGAGATCCTGTTTTAAACTATACAAAAACTTATTCAGCTTTTTGCGAAGGCAAATGCAAACCCTTTACGAGTGCCGATTGCATATTGTGAAAAGCTGAAAACGAAAGTTTGCAAAAGAGGTTTATATCGTTTACTCAGCGCTCTGCCGATTTCAAAAGCATTGAATAGCAACGAGTTAGATTCTTTTTTTCTGCATGAAAGCAATATTGCCCACCATTATTATTATTTGCACGATTTSCTGTAATTTTTGACGATTGAAAGACTTCAATGCTTCTAGATTTATTCTGGTTTTAGAATTCGGCATCGTTAAATGCACAAAGAACAACGGTCTACGAAACCAGCTTTCGTATAAAAATGTCCTTTTAAACTTTAACTATCAGCATTCTAAAACTTTCAAGCATGACCAAAGTTGTTTTTAAACAAGGGACGTCCACTAATCYGGCGAGCAGCCATTGTGAAATAAGATTGGCTTGCTTGATCTCCTGCGTCTCAACGTGACAATTTGATAAAAGCCGTAAAGTCACTAAACGATCACTAAACTTTAAAGAGATAAATCCTTTGCCCGAAACGTACAATAAAGAGTAGAAACCAAGTTACAAATTGTGCGGCTTTCTTTAATACAAGCTCATTAGTATTTACAAAATTATTCTTATTCTTCTTCTGTCGCTACTCTTATCCAGGTAAAACTGAAATAACAAAAGGAAAACTGTAAGATTATAAGATCTCCGCAAACTGAAATTTCAAAAAAAGACAAACATGACTTAMAGTTTTGCATAATCAACTGAAWGAAKGCGTTGCAGAGATAACGTAACGCTCTCTCTAAAAGCATTCCCCCGAAAGAAAAGCAAATCTGCCATCACTGAAGAAAATAGTAAAAAAGATCAAAGTAAAAAAACATGCTTTAAATGTTGTTCAATTCAACTTACCACCTGAACAATAATGGAGCGTTTGGGAAGTTCTATAAAGTAATGACAATCGAATTAAAATGAAACTTCTAGAGTTGTTCCGCACAAGAGTGTAAAATATGTTAAATGAGACGATTGTACGAACGGCATGCAAATTAGGGTTGGTGTTAATACCTTCATTGTTTAGAGGGACTATACCGATTGCTAAAAATATCAATAGACAATTTTCAAACATTCAACTATAAAGGTTTTACTAATGTTATAGATTTTTCAACAATTTTTGACATGCTAACAGTAACAATAATTTTCCACGAACAGTATCACATTTGTTCTAAAATTCATCAAGCTTTTTGTCTAGTTTTTGCAATACATTGTTCATTAAATTCAGGCTTGATGCAGTCTGCTGGCATATTGACACATGTGCCTGTTGAGCTTCATAACTAACTTCTCTAAGAGTTTTCTTCTTCTTGTTCTTCTCCTTCTCGCTGTTCTCATCGCTTTCACTATCATCACTATTAGA